CACATAAAGCACTTTGCATCTGGGACTCAATGGGGTCTAAGGGTACGGAGTGAATGAGAACATTATTTCACTGTACAGTTTGTCTACAAAACAGTAACGACGCTCCAGCAAACACTGAAACATAAAGTTGAAAAGGGGGCAAGGAGGAGGAAAGAAAGAGTTGTTGCTCATCAGATCAATATCTTATTGTTCACGGCCAACTGCACAAAAACTCCCTCATGTTCCTTTCTCCTTTAAAAAAAGAAATAATAAATTTTCAAGTTCTAGTAGCAGAAGATATAAAGTGCATTAACCACACATGGGCTGGAGTGGTGATGAAAGTGAAAGACACTAAAAGAGGGAGTAAAAACTAAAGTCTGGCACATCCTTTTCTTCATCCTAAGAGGTGTACGTCTAAACATCTCACACAGGCCTGCACCCTTTCCAAGTAGATAAGAAAATAATGAACGTTTTAATTGAAAAGCCTTTGTTCTGACTATCAGCTGAGTAAAAAATAGCTTTTAACAAGATAAAGATCACCACAGATTGAATATTCTATGTTGGTGCCTGGATTTCTAAATAACACTCTTTTATCAAACTGAAACTTGTTACCAGATTCACAGATGCAAAGACAGACATATCTTGCTTTGCTATCTTGTCATTTATTTTATGCACCTCGGCAGTGTTAAGTCCTTCTTGTCTTATTAAGTAATCTTCTTCACATAAACTGGTGTTAATAAACTGAAATGGAGATGTCTGGAAACGTATGTTTCTGAATTGCACTCATGCAAAGCTGATGACTGATTCTCAGATGAACTGTATTATGATAATGTAATCATATGGTGCTATGAATTTTCAAAAGTCTAAGTACAAAGGCCTTAACACTCTCTAGGGCGTGTGTTATAGGGAAAATACACTAAACTTTGCTTTTTCATGTAGTTTATTTCTTCAAAACTATTCATATGGGCAGCGATGCGAATTTGCAACAGTTGAAACACACGTTCAATAAAAGGTTTGATTAGATTTGAGCCGAGGACAAACTACTGGGATCCTTGACCCAGAGCAGCGTCTGGAGTCTGTCTGAGGTGACTTGTTGTTAAGCCTGCTACTGATCAGCTATTTTATTGAGTTTCCTTTTAACTAAGTGCTCTGAGTAAATTTGAGTTCCCTCTGGTAAACAATTACGCAGTGTAGGCTTTATGTCCAGGGCTTTTATTGTGAAAGGTTAGAACTTAAGGATTGTATCTTGTGATTGGTTGATGCCTGTAAGGCCTTCACACACCTGGGGCGTGATAAACACAATAATGCAAAATACTCGCATGCAAATACTATATTTCTAGGTCTTTTACTGTGAAAGGTAAGAGCAGAAGGAGTGGATCTGGTCTGCGCTGCCTTTGTCAAGGTTGAAAGGAGTAATTAAGTTTGCCGTCTTGGTACGCCACTTTTTCACTGTATAATATTCGTGTTATTTGTGAAAGTAATCTTGACAAATCCCAAAAATATTTTGGCGAAAAAAAAAAAAAACTTTTCAAGGTTTCAAACTAAAAGGGAAAAAGAATATCAATCCAAAAGCAGGTGATGATTATGGATAAAATTCCGTTACAGGACGTGTCAATTGTTCGTGGGTGCATCCCAAATGAACTGCGTGGTCCTCCTTGATGTCACCATCACCAAAGAGCCCAAATACACACAGACAGAAACTCAGAGCTTAATCCATCCCCATCCTTTGGTGTCCACTCAGTGCCGGACACCGCTGGAGCTGAAGTGTCGACGTGAATGAGAATAACAAACTGTGTGAAGGGCGGACTGGATTTCTCCTTCCTTTGCAACACCAACCTGAGACTCTCGACAGATGCAGAGGAGTTACTGAACCAGTGTGTGTACGAGTGGTTGGAGGGGCGGCAGGAGGAGAAACGGGGTAGCGGGTCATATCTTGGTGGATTAGTGGAGCAAGTGGCGCAGCAGAAGCTTAACGTGTTGTATTAGTTGAAACCAGATGACAGTCGGTTGCATTTTATCCCGCTTTCCTTTTTGTCCTCTCAAATCTCTGCTGGTGCAAAAATGCCACGGCTATAGAGATTAGATTGTTTTGTGAAAGACTACTTTCAAAAATTTTTCTTTTCAGAATATGCACATATTGTTTACTGCTTTGAGTTGTGTACTTTGTTAACACTTGGTACTGGTACTTTTGCTTCAGTAAAAAGGTTGTGTACTTCTTCCACCTCTGCAGATGTCAGTGAAGAAACAAGAAATGGCAGAATATTATGTGACTTACAGACTTCCCCTATAGCGGCAGAGTATTAGACGTTATAAATCAATAATGATATCCAGCTTTGGATCGACCTTAAACTCACATAAAAAGCATAACAGCAGATGGCTCCTCTTTCTTCATCACTTCTGTCACTCGGTTACCTCCCTCCCTCCCTCCCTCTTTCTTTCTCACCTGCGTTTCTGTTTGTTCCGTCCCTCTCTCTCTCGGCCTCTCTCTCTGGGCTTTTCTCCAGTTTACATGATGAGCTGGTGGCCAACAAAACAAACATTGGCCAGAGGACACGGAGCAGCAGGGCAGAACAGCAAGGTTGCCATATAACTTTCTGCATGATCCCTCTGCAACGCCTACTCACCGTACCTCAACAGCAACACCGCTTTGCAGGGCGCGAAGATAGCTACTTAGAAATGTCCAGTTGAGGCGAAAACGAGGGCGGCGGGATGGTGCAACGAGCAGAAAGACCAGCATTCAACCTGAAGCAATGTTCACATGAATTCAGAACGAAGATATAAGTGAGCCAGAACTATGTGTTTTGAAGTCAGAGTGCTCATTGTTTTGGTTTTGTTAAGTAAGAATGAAATCCCACGACACCAAAGTGACAATTATTGTTATCTATAAATAATAATTATATTCTAAAGAGCATTTCTCTTCACTAGCCTGTTTGTGCACAGTACATTGAGCAGCTGGTTGTTCCCTGTAAACTGGCCAGGCCACAAGCCAGTTTGAAAATATGATATATGGAGATGATTTTTTTTTTTTTTCTCCAAGGGGCATTTCTTTCCACTTTGACTCTAAGGACATGACAGCCATTATCTGTTAGCAAGAATGAGGCTTGAGGGGCGACCCCCCCTCCAGGGGGGCTCTGTGTTAAAAGGTACCAGACTTCCACTCATTTAACATTCGAGCGAGCAAGGTAGAAAATGGCTCTCCGCTCTCCTCTCGGAAAGCGGTGCCAGGTGAAAAGCTTTAATTGCCCATCAGGATTCCTTGTCGTCAAAATCCCGCCTCTGTCGCTCTGATACGGCTCCTCTCAATCTGCCCGCTTGTCCGTCCTGTTTGTCGTCGTCCTGCGTCACGGTCTGGCAGTTTGAGTATCTGTGTGTCCTGCCTGACCTCTCTAAAGGCAATCCAGGTACATCGGAGGATTTGATAGTGAGCGCAACAAAATGCAAAGATAATTGGATAGATTTCAAGATAGGCCCCTGCATAAGTTTGGATGTGTTGTTGTTTTTTCTAAGATAACAGTAAGCGATGCCTCGGGGTAATTATTTTATCACGTTTGGGTCCATCAAGCTTATAAAAATCAAACTGATCTAATGTATGATCATCTGTCAACAAGATTATCACAAAACTCCACTATGTGGCATAAACATTGCACTTTTAGGATGATAAGTTCCAGGCAAACTGTGTGGTTTTCAGACTACTTAAGTTTTCAGACTAATCGGGAAGAAGCATTTGTCCAGAGCTCAATTCAAACATTAATCCTAGGTACAAAGGACCAGCAGCAAAGCTAAGATTTGGAGCTATACATTCATTGCAAAATGATAATATTAGATATATATTATATTAAAAAAGTATAACCTCAAGATATCCTTCCTTACCAATTATTATAAAATTAAATTTCAATCAAGAGAGACGAAAGGTTTTTCTTGTTTTCTGCCCTTCAGCCGTTGCCGATGAGTCAGTCCTTTTTTGGAAACAGTCTATAAGAGTTTTAAAGAGGGGCTCTCTCAGCGGGCATACGTACTTGTACAGGAAGTAAAGTAGATACCTGCAGCTGTAGTATTTATATATTTGGGTCAATTCAAAATCATCCAAAATCAGGAGGCAGAAATGAACCCCTCTACACAATGTGAGAGAACATATCTGTTTTTTTTACGAATCTCAACTTCAAATGCATTTATAAATACATGGGAGTAATTTCCACTTCAAAACAGCCCTCTGTGAACCTCTGCATCACAGAGTGGAATACATTCTGAGCCAGGCAGTGGATCAGTATCTCTTTGAAGTGTAGGTGAAAGAGTTACTGACGCCGCTGTCAACTGTAAAATCAGATTACCTCGAGGTGTGACATTACATAAAGACTTTTGGGGGGTAAGGGGTAAGTTTGTGTGTGTGTGTTTGAGAGAGAGCAGAGCACAGCAGGGAAGGCGGAACCAAAGGTCTGTTCTACAGGGGGGAGTGATTAAGGTGTTGCGCAAGGCCCACAGGGGAGAGAAAGGGCAGAAGGGAGAGCTCATTGCTTATAATGTAGAAGGAGAAGAACTCTCACCCAACGCAGCATGAAAGACTCGCACTCTCTCACGGCATTGCTTAGAAAATCAGGCTGCTTGTGCTTCCGCTGAACTGAGCGAAGTGAACGTAAACACGTTGCTGATTTTCACTGCAGATGGGTTTTTGTCAGAAGAAGACGCAGTCAATGAAGACCAGCTAGGGATGAGAGGAGGGGGAGGCCAGCCTTCAGGGGTTGATGCACCTGCAAATTGACTTGTTCTCAATTTCTACATGCAGTAATAGACTTTCCCCACCATGTTAATGAATTTAAATACCCGATGGACTGATGAGGTGATTTCTAGTTCAGGTCTAATTCTTGTCCGACGGTAATTTGAGTTTGCAACAAGATAATTCCTCAAGCCCTTTACATGGCCTGTAATACAGTTTATCATAACAAAGAGGTCTTTACGCCATTGGGCTCATGTGGGTGCTGGTGTTACTTTACGGTGTATCTGCAGCACATCTGGCCTGATCTAACCTGGTTGATGATGTAGATGCCGTAGTCAATCCTCTGCCGTCTGAGGATAGGGTGGAGGTAGTGGAGCCAGTACTTTAGGTGGTTTTCTCTGTGACGGAACGGGATGATGATGGCCACCTAAACCACAGGGACAGTTTGGGTTGGTCATTTGTTTGTACTATAACACACATCAACATCTGTATCTGTTGGAGAACCATTCAAATGCATAACTAAATCAATGCTGGTAAGTAAAACAGTCACGGTGCACTATCTGAAACCTTTCTGTAGAGATGGACAAAGTGTTTGTTTGTAAATGAGCTTTGTTTCATCCTGTGAACCGTTCTGCACCAGAAAATATTTTCCTTGGAAAATCCCCCTGTTTAATGTCACATTGTACATAAAGTTGGTTCTCATTAATTATGAATGAAGCAGCCAAAGGAAGTAGCTGTCAATGGCATTGCAGATTTGAGGCCGTCCTCTATCTCTGAGCTGTAAGTGAGTCTTTCTCAGCTGTCCCAACAGTCCAAGGTTGAACTATAATTTACCGTGTACGCATGGTAATTCTGCACTCAGATGAAGACTGACAGCAAACTGACCTTGGTTTCTGTATTGTTAAGCATTGAGACGGGTGATTCGTGTCTTTTTTTACTGCTAAAGGAAGCACCCTGACCTGAAGTATTGTGTGGCCGAGAAAGACAAATAACACTTTAATAGAGCAATATACCACATAGGACTATGACTAAATATGATCACATCTACTGTGGGAAAAGTATTGCTGTACAGACTTCTGGTTTGTCCTAATATTGATCCAAAATTGAGATATAATTTGAAAGCCAGATTTTTGCCAGGTCAACATTTTAAAATTATTAACACGCTCATACTCTTGACTTATTATCTCATAATTGTTTATTATTTCATAATTATGACTTACTGGATCATGACTCTGACTTAACCACGGTATTTCAATTTTGATTATGCATAAATTATTGTAGTTTTTTAATTTCATATACTGACAGAAATGGGCTCCCATAATAAAACATGTGAGTATACACACTTAAATTAAAGCATGTGAAGAACAGACAGACAGACACGTATATATATATATACACACACACACACACACACACACTGTATATACAGACCTTCCATCTAGGCCGACAGTCAGGAGGCGTGTAGCGGCCTCCGTCTGTCACGTTAGGGTTTTCTCTCTGCACTCGTTCCATCGTCATCTGGGAGCTGAACTCGATCAACAAACGTCCCACTGAGGAAACAAGGAGAGATGGAAGTGTTAGTGGGATGACGAGGATAACAGAGAAGGAAGAAGATAAAGTGGAGAGAAAAACAGACGAGAAGGAAAGCAAGAGGCAACGAGGGATGTAGGGAGTGAGGGACAGACGAGAGAGCTTTTAGTTTCAAAGCAATACTGTAGGTGTATCAAAAGCAATGTGTGGAGAAATAATGGTTCCAAGGGATACACTCTGCATATTGCAGCATTTAATAAGATGCACAGGCTTTGGAAAACATATATTCCTACAAAATAAACAAAGACTTTGAAGTCAGTCAATGTAAACACAAAACGAAGGGTAATTACGCTGCTCGGCGATGAAGCCACACCATATGTTGAATCCCTACAAATCTATCCATCATTCCTTTGAGTACGGACGGATCAAATGCCATCAACGCGTGTGTATTCGCGTGCACGAGATTGCGGGTTCAGACCAATTTGAAAAGAATGGTTGGCTTTAAATCTTTGGCGCGCATAATAAATACACAGCCCCTCGTTCAGGGAGCCAGCATCATTAAAATATACGAGCAAGCTTTGCTGTTTGGGCTCCAACCAAAGTCCTGAGACCATAACCCTCATTTTAACAAACCAGGCTGTGAGCACTCCTTCTGGGGCACTCATCAGTGCAGAAGAATAACTTGGTAGTTCATTTACAAGAACATCATCAGATTACACGTTTGTCACTCAAAATCTATAATGTCAAGAGTCATTTGATCAACAATGCTTTTACATAGAAGATGCTTTAGTACGTTCATTGTTAGTTGTAATTGTGTGTAATTAATCATTTTAGGTGGACACGTTAGACATACTTTATTACCCTGCTTCTAAGCAAACACTGCTACTACAAGTACCACACATACATTGAACAGATAAGGCTGGCAATGTTCTGTCATTTTCTTAGTCTCAACAAATCACACGATAAGACTTAAACCAGCAATTAACAGATCCTACTAACACATATTTTTTATTAGATCTTAGTCTTCTGTGTAATAGAGCTCCATTTTTCTCCAACAACACATTCATGAGCCAAACTGTGTGCTGGGGGGACATGTTCTGTAGTTTATTTTGAATCAATCTCACACACACACACACACACACACAATTCTGCTGCTGTGGACACTCACTTGCACATATGACAATGTGTAACAACCGTTGTTGTATTGAGAGTTTCAGAAAGGTACAAGACATGCGTGTGACTAGTTTCAGAAGCTGTTTGAACACTTTTTTAAGCGTACTGTGGCTTTAAGTACTAAAGTCAATGTAGGGAAGTCGGGAAGCATGGAGCGCTGTAGGGACGATGCATTTCTGTAGGCCAACCTGGAAGTTAGCATCAGGTTTCTTCAACAAAAAGCCAATGGGATGTTTCCAGTGGCTTCTTGATTATTGCAGAAAATAAGCTCTGTGTAACGTTTATGATACTGACACGTTTTGTTCAACAAGATAATCTTCACAAATGAACACCACTTTTATGATTTCTGAAGCGTGAATGCAATCGGAAGAAGTAATAAGCAAACGTTAGGCCATTATTAAACTACACCTTTTGCGTGACTTCAACACCGATACCTAATTCCAATTTATAATTTGATTTCACACGAAAACCCTGACAACCTCTGTAGTCTCATTTTGCCGCTTGTTAGCAACAGTCTTTTTAAAGACACAACTTCAAAAATCACGATCGGGGTATTTACCCCGAGGTATTTTATGTCGTAGAAAAAAAACAACATTGTTGTTTTGGGTCTTTAATGAGATTTGTTTCAATAAGAAAACTATTAAAGTAATAGAATATTCTTTTAAGACGTTAGGATCATCACCGCCATCAGAGCCACTGATAATGTACGTCTCATGTTGCATGATACGTGTATCATTGCACAGTATGAGAGCACTGTACCGCAGAGAAGAGAGGTACATGGCTTAATAATCCACTTAGCATTGACGCATGCGCTTTGTGTCGAGAGGTCCCCTCCAATCAACGCTGCACAGGCGAGGAGCATGATCGATGCCAACAAGGTTACGTCTTCATAACACACTTCTTTATCACCCGCAAGAATTGAATGCAAATAGTCCCAACAGCCTTTCCCCCCCCCCGATCACTTCTGCCCAGCACCCTCCAGCCTCTCCACTCTCAACCCCTCATGTTTTCTGCTTTCCTCTTCTCCTCTCACACTAATGGGACGGTAAGTGGAACACGGTGTTTTCATCTAGTCTCAGAATAATGTTGGTTAGTGTTCGGACGGCAAAAAAAAAAAAAGACACAGCAACAGAAAATACAAACACAAAAAGATGCTATTTTTAGATCATGTTGTGTTGTTGTTTTTTGATACTAAAATCATTTAATTAATCAATGCAGATTGCAGATGCAAATTACATTTGAGCACCAGTTTAATAGTGCAGTAATGTTGTCTGTAAAAGAAAGCCACACAAATATATATATATATATATATATATATATATATATGAACAGATAACCTACTTCAGAGACCTATATCGTTATTTAGGTCAAGTCTTAAATCTAGTACAAGGCAAATTTAGTGCATGGTGTCTCTGCACAAGACAAGGCTCCCTGACTATAAGTTAGCTGCACAGTACACACTGGGTTTCCTGGAATCACAGAGGTTTGTATTTACTGCTAGAGCAGAAACACTTGAGGGTTAAAAACCAGGCTTTCAGTGAAGTCTCTTTCCAGATGATATGTAGCCACATGACTGCATATAAATCTACCATGTGGCCCGAGTGTGAATGAAACCGATAACGAGGCACAGTGTTCGAGGCACAGAATATTTAATGGGCCAGGATTTTTAAACTGGTTGGAGTATTCAATTAGTCGAAGAGCAGAGACATCCAATATTTGAGCGTTACCTGCCAAACGTCAATCGTTTTAAAGGAATACTTCGACACTCTTCGGGCATACACTTATTTACTTTCTTGCGAGGAGTTTAGATGAAACGATTGATACCACTTTCATATCTGTGTGTTCAGTATGGAGCTGAAGCCAGGAGCTTATAGCTTAGCACAAAGACTGGAAGCAGGGGGAAACGGCTAGCGTGGTTCTGTCCAACCTCACTACATTTTAAATTTTGTTTGGTATGTACAAAAGCAGAAATGTAGAAACAATTATTTGTGGATTTACGAGGAGTGACCGCAGTGACTCCTGCCAACTAATGGTTTGAACTTCTCGTCACGATGAGCTCCAGAGGAAGTGATGCACTTCAGTCTTAATAAGTGGAGCTCGACTCACATGTATGTTGTTGTTGTTTTGATGCAAAAAGATGGAGACAGGGAGGTCAGAAAGCTTCCAAAGTGCTTTAGGAAGCTTTTAAACTAAACACTGACATCATCCTATTGTACTCTGACACAGAAGACATGAATAATACAAAGTGTGTGCATGTGTGTGTGTGTGTGTAATGCGCATTGTAGAAAAAAAATGTGGGTTTGATCTGATGTTGTTGGAGGAAGAAGTGAATAATGAGAGCTCTAAAGTAGGTTGATAGCTTTGCAATTATCTCACATGCATGCACGCGCACACACACACACGTAATATATCTCATAGTTATCTATGTGGTGATATTACAGTAATACATTATAATCAAGCTTCATGATCGCTCTATCTGGGACACCCGCTGCACTTTGGGGGATACATCACTGCTCTGTCTGCAAATATACTCATATACACTTGCACCCCCCCCCCCCACACACACACACACAAACACGATAATAATGGACAAAATCTCTCTGAGCAATTAGGTTAGTGGCAAATGTTCCAACACAACACACTGAGAGCAGACCTGAGGCAGTGAGCACTGTAAACACACAGCGACTAGGCCTCTTTGAGGCTGTGATTCAGCCTGGGTCAAATCTGATAACAAGGGAACAGAACGAGGAGGAAAAGGGGAGCGTCCAGAGTTTGGTCGGTTTTGAGGGTTGTTTTTTTGACGCGGCATCCATCCACAGAATGTAGTGCTTTCTGTTTCTCTCTCTTCCTGACTCAGATTGTTTGATTCGTTCTGGCCTTCTCACACCCCATAATTCATATGTCAAAAGGTGAAAGATCACTGAAATATTAAAGACAACATTCACACCTCCACTCACTTTCCACCAGGCCAGTGGATCTGAAAATGGGATCCATGTGTAGAGGTTTTAACTGGTCCATCTGGTCCCTGGTAAGACAGACGTGACCCAGACATACAGTAAGCGGGGCCAGGACCAAATTATATTCAGTCTAATCGGTTTTGGGTCATTCTGTTGCAGCAGATATCGAGTCTGTGTTTTTCGGTAAAACAGAGAGTGTGAACTGCTTCATGCTGCCACTGCTGATGTTCTCTCTCCATTTGGGTCTGTTTGAGTCGCCCATATTTTGGATTGGTCTCATAATCCTCAGGTCCCTTTTGGATAAATACAAATCTGTTTAGTAAGTTTAGGTAGGTTGTCCATGTGTCCATTGTACAGAAAACCTCTAATCCATGGTCTCTAATGGGGGTCTTACACAGATTATTGTGTAGGGCTATCTATGGACTATGTTTTTTAATTAATCATACGATGAAAAAATGTATTTTGATGAATAATTTAATGATAAACTTGTGATTCAAATAGTCAATACTTTTTTGTGAGATCCAATAGTTGCGGAAATGTCCTTTTTAAAGGGGTCCTTCTACAGCTACTGTTAACACTGCTACTTATGTGAGAAACGTAGCATGAATCGTTTTGTGGCTCCACAGGGAGATCCAGGACAAAATGTGGTAAATTGCCTCGGGTGAATAATTTGAGTCAGCAACAGCTGAAGCTGAAGTTTGAAAATAAAAGACAATCTGGGAGTTTGGAGCTGGAACGAAGCTCACCAGAACTCTATTGCCTGCTCCTCATCCACGCCTGAGGCTATATTAGCTGCTACTAGCATAACACACTCACATCTTAGACCAACAAGTGGATGGTTTAGTTGCATTGTGGGTAACGTATAGGTGCCAAGTTTTGACAAAGAGAAT